AACAGGTGGCAGGCCAAAGAGTGGATGTGGAGCGAGATGGACAATGTAGAGAAGAACCAGAATGCAATAAGAGGAAGGAGAGAGAAGGCACAGCTCAGACACAAATATCTGGAGCCATAAATAACAACACTTTGTTGGAGACTGGACACATCCGATGTAGAGGGAACATCAGTCAAACACCGAAAATTCAGGAAATATGTGGACTCACTGGTAGAAACGGAGGTAGCTGAGATGGGGAAGTGGGTGTGAGTGGCAGCCACAGCCAAGCCAGTTCATCTGAGTTCCTGGTAAACTTGGGACTTTGTCAGCCTGTAGTTATAGTAACATGACCATGTTACTATATAGTCACCATATAGTGACTATATGGTGTGACAGTGTAAAGGACAGCAGAGTACCCTAGTTAAGCTTTGTGTCAGCATTCAAGCGAATATGATGAAAAATTATGGATGTCCATAAGCTGGCTTCCCAAATTTATCCTTTCAATTCTTTTTTTCTCCTCTCTCTTCCCACCTAAAGCATGAGGAGAATTTGTAGCATAGAAAAGTGGTTCTCAAAGTGTTCAAGTGTGGTCCCTGCATCACAAGCATCTATATCCCCTGGGAACATTTTAGAAATACAAATCCATGAGCCCAACCCCAGAATAAGGGAATCAAAAAATGTAGGAGTGGGTCCACTAAGCCGTGTTTTAACAAGTCCTCCAGTTCATGCTGGTGTCCTCTAAAGTTTTAGAACTGCTGATATGTTTATATGTTCCTTCTAGGGTGAGTGAGGCAATCCAACACTGATTTCACATAGTAAAAATATTTCCTTAGAAAAGTACATTTCCCTAAAGCTTTTTGTGCAAGACCTGTGTGTTGAACATGTATTATCTGCCAAGCATTATTCCAGGTACTCTGGATATAGCAGTGAACACATTTGATAGTTAATCACAATAATACATTGTACAATATTTTTAGCAATTTAAAATTACACTGTGAAAGTGACTGCCAGAGGGTCCGAGTGTTGGTCGGGGGTCAGGAAGATGTTCCAAAAGATATGACACTTAAGTAAGGAAAAATGAGCAGAAATGAACCTGATGAAGGACTAGGGGGTAATGTGAAGCCAGTCTAGGCCCTGAAAGGAAAAGGCCTGGACACTTTCAGGAAATCGGAAACAGAGAGCATGGATGGGTCATGATTATGGTGGGAGTTGAGGCTGGTGAGGCAGATCCAACAGAGAGCTCTTATCGGCACTTGAAAATAGTAAAGATTTTGTATTTTCTGCTGAAGCCATTCTAGGGGACACTGATAAATTTCAGTCATGGGCCAGCGTGATCTGATTCATGGTGTGTGTTTTTTCTTTTAATGTTAATCTTTGATAAAAAAGGAAAAGGCTTTCCTGCTTTACATAACCATGAGCATAGCAGTACGGTGCTTTAAGTTTCCTCTAAGTTATAATTGGCTGATAGAGACACATTGAACGGGGCTGTAATGAGGGTGGGAAAGAGGGTAGAGTGCCTTCATGGGGACCAAATGACAGGAAAAGAAAAGGAGGAAGGGCCTGGGAGATTCTTCCGCTTTGTGGTTGTGGCTGAGACTGGCCCTGCCTCTGCATGTCTGAAGCAGTGGGAGTGCAAGTTCATAGGAATTGCTGCTTTTCTCAGGGGTCATCCTCCCCGACAGAGAGGACCTGGTGCTCAGGTTGTATCCATCTGGAAGCTTTTCTCCTACATATGCTGTCTTATAGAGATTTAATTCATTTTCTGGGCCTCACTGTCACGTCCTTGAGAAAGATTCTCAGATCTCTATGTCCTCGTGACTTTGAGATTTTCCATGTTGAATATCTTTTGTGCTTTTGCCCCACGCTAATCCATTGTGTTAACAAGAATTGCACACGTGCAGTTGTTTAGTGGCCGGTTGCGTATAGTTCAGTAATGACTGAAAAATTATGCACACCCACCCAGCTCTGACTGCCCTCCTGCATTTCAATAGCATGTTGCTGTGTGCTGGGGAGCTGACCTTGTAATGTCATTGGAACCACAAACAGCCCGCCTGTGATTCAACTCACTAAGTCGTCCCCAAATCAACTTGCCTCTGACCTCTCCTGCCTTTGCTCATGAACACCTGGGCTGACTGTTGTCCCTGGTTCCACGATTTGGAGTCATCCTCGATTACCCTGTCTTACGCTGTCACCAAGCCCAAGCACTAAGACTGTCCCTCTTCACTTGGTGGTGTGCCAGTTTGCCATTTGTCTTTCTCCTTCATTGCCCAGTATAGTCACAGTACCCCAGTTAAGTCACAGCAGGAAACTTCCACCCACAA